ATTTAATGCAAGAACGTTGTTCAAGTTTTGAATCTATTGTAAAAATCGCCGCGACGTAAAAACTTGATGTAAAGAAATCACTGTCATAAAGATAAATGAACAGCTGGTATAAGCAGAAGCTTGGCATGGGTGTCCGTAACAGTGCTGCCAACGTGACACAAATAACAGAATTCTAAACCGATAAGCCCGCGAGGTTTAAATTAAAAATTTTGGTTATGTTTTGATCATGGTAGTAGGTAGGCCGAGTAAAATTACCAAGAGTCAAATAATCAAAACGTTGTTAACGTATAAAGATACAATAATAAATACANAAAATTACAAGGTAAGATCAAAAGTTGATCCAATATGGAATAGAATATTTTCAGATATTAATCATGTAATGTCACCTAATGCACTNTATACTTTTGTTTCATGCAACAAATTTGGAGTTAGAGACATATTGTGTGAGCGGCCGCAAGTTACTAGTTGTGACAACAAAGATGACACTTGTCACGATAATTATGATGATGACGATAATAATGGAGAAAATATTCTTGTGGCCGAAAGAAGGGAAGATGTTACATCAAATTCAGAACAAATGTTGGATTCAACGGTAAGCGAATCAATTCCAAACTTTAGTAATATAGGTGGTATATCGCAGTTTGTGATAACTGTACCAAAAGAAGATTTTACTTCAATGATTATAATTAAAAAATACCAACGAACGGATAAACATTGACATAAGTCTACGCGCGAATATACAGTATTAAAATCTGGATTATTGCAACATTTTTTTAATGAAAAAATATGGCAAGCCACAAAAATATTTTGCGGATTTAATTTTAAGCGTCACAAATTATCCAAGAGTGCAGAATTTGGATATGCGCGTGGCACATGTAAATGTGGATCTGTAATTAAATTAAAAATTAATAATTCTGACGAATCTTTAACAAAATTAGATTATGTACATATCTCGAAGGTCAAGGGTGTTGTGGAAAGCGATATTTGAGAAATCCAATACGACAAGACGTTGCCGAAAAACTTAAAAGTACAACTGCAGCCAAATATAGAATAAAAATGGCAGAAAAGTTAATAGATGAAACTGATAAAACGGAACTTCCACATTTATACAGTGTCAATGTTTTAAAAGTTGCAAAACATGAAATGATGCAGAAAAGTTATTTTGATAAAGATGTAATGAAATCATTACATTTAATAATGTTAGGACCACTGCGCAATGTAATACATAATCTTGGTTTAAGTCCTTTTTTCGTGTATTATTGGACAAATCATCAGTCACATGTGTATCGAACGTATGCATCANATNAGACTGCATGTATTTATATTGATGCAACTGGAAGTGTTGTAAGAAAGATTAAAAATCCGGATAATACAAAAACAAAACATATTTTTTTGTATAATTGTGTTGCGAATTCCGAAAANAGTGGTCTGTTCCCAGTGTGTCAAATGCTTTTGGAGAGGCATAGCACAGTTGCGATCCACAGTTGGTTAATGGAATGGAGCGAATCTGGCGTTCCTCATCCACGTGAGGTCGTATGCGATGCCAGTCGCGCATTATTAACAGCAGCAGTACGTAATTTTACAGGATTTCGTACTGTCAAACAGTATTTTAACGCTTGTTTTAAAGAAAATATTATGCCTTCATGTTACATACGCATAGACGTGGCACATTTTATAAAATTATACGCAAATGTTTTGAAAAATGTGCGGCCACGACTAAAAACATTTTATTTGTCATTACTAGGACA